CTTTATTAAAAGGAGTTTTCTGTAAAATTTGGTTTCAGTCAAAAGGGTGCACTCAAGGATCCAGAAGGCCACATGTGGCTCCAAGGCCACAGGTTAAACTGTTCAGTGAGCAAAATACGGTAACCATAATACAATGTTCTAAGTACAAATACACTACGATAGAAAGGGCAGTATGGTAGCACAAAGGTTAGGGAAAGGGCTGGAATTTAAGGGAGGTTCTTCCTGATATTTTCTCTGTGACACAAAAGGCAAAGTTATCTGCCAAGTGTTTTGTGGGATGGAGGAGTGGTTGGTAATGTGGAGAAAGGGATGAATGTTCAAAACAGCTGGCCAGACAATAAAACAACAGCAACTTGTATTCATGACTTCTATGTCCTGGGTACTGTAATGAGTGCTTTTATACATATTTTTCTTTGATTCTCAAAACAATCCCATTACTTTAACATTACCGAGAATAAAATTGAGACTCAGAGGTTAAAAATTGAGAGGCACTAAGGACTACACTGAGATTAGAAACTACTTTTTGTAGTAGCAACAATTTACATAATTTTGTCATTTTCTCCTGCTGTGCCTCTCAGACCAAGAATAGCAACTGATCTGGCACTATGGGTTTACAGGGTTAGGCAAGGAAGAGCAGAAGGGTAAGGATATGGGAAGTTAAAGAAATGGGGAAACGGGGAACAAAGCAATTCAAGTAGTTGCTCATTAGGTCTGTGGCTCAGAGAAATAATGATAAGGCAGACTTGGGGGAAAAAACGAAGGAATCGAGGAATCTGAGAATATTTAGCAGTAGTAAGAAAAGCAGTAAGATATCCAGTTGAGGTAGGGTAGGACTTAAAAATTTTCTTTGATGGAAGAGCTTAAAGTGATGATACGGGCCAGAATGGACCATGATACTGAGTTTCTTAAGAATGGGGGGGGGGCAGGGGGAATGCAAGCATAAGAAGAAAAACAATTAAAAGAAAGAAAAGAATGAGAGTCGTTAAATTGGACGAGGTCATACACCTACTAAAGACTAAGTTTAAACAAACTCAGATCTACTGTCTAGTTTCAATGTTATTTTCACTATTTCACAGCTGCCTGTACCTTAGAAACTTATATTCATCAACATTTTGACTATTTATTTTTTTACAATTATGTAGTTTCTTGCCTTATTAAGCAGAGCATGTATGTCAATTTTGCCTTTTCTTAAGGATTTTTAAGTCATCATTATTATCCTCATATCGACGATAGCATCATATAAGTGCTTTTTTAGATGGAGATTCTTTCATCTCTTCCTTTCAGACAGCTTTCAATTTTCACTGATGATGTCAATATACTTGGTACTATTTTTCACTTTGCTATAACATGGACCAAACAAAATGCTTTCAAGAAAAACTGAGTTAACAAAACCAGAAAGCTTGATTTTACACTTAATACTATATCATTTAAGGGTGGTTTTATTTCTTTTCCATGGATTAAAAACTAGGGATCATGGTAGGGCTTTTATACTTCTGAGTAGATGAGATAACCCTCAAATTACTCAAACCACTGGCTAACTAGGGTTCTAGGTATGACTGTATCTCCAAAAATCTCTCATTAGCATTGAAATTTACTACCTTCTAAACCCTTATATAAAAAAGTTTTTCTTAATATGAAGTACTGTTCATTCTTCTTCAGTGATTTGTAGAACAATTACTAGCACTTGTAATGATCATCGTTACCTCTTTTTTGGCTTCTTTTTTGGGATCATAATCACTATCGTTCCCATCCATTGGGTGTGTTTCTTCCACATCATCATCACTGAGAAGAAACAAAGATTAGTAAACTTAATTCCCTTC